AAAGTTTCGTCTATATGAGTTTGTTTGTCTGACTGCATAAAACTTTTCAAGTAGATCAGGATTTATCAATAATGTGGCTAATCTCTTAATATTGAAATATCAAATCTAAAGAGACTTTAAAAAGTTTGCTACAATGTTGATATTCTTATTTCTGTATGGCACTACAAAATAAATGTGATCACAATGTTGTATCATTAACAACAACAAAAAAAAGAACTGTATAACAGCTTCTGAAAATAAATACAAATGATGTAGCCATATTCTGAGGGTTAAATAATTTTTTTTTTCCTAAGAAGCTCTGAGAGTTAATTGCATATTTAAAGAACAATATTCCAGGTCCCATGACTAAATGGACCTCTTATTGTTACCTCTTAATGTACTTATTATTCACATGGAATTAACTTTTGCTATTTTTGTGGTACACATGTTTCTGCAAATTATAGTTCCAGCAAAATAAAAAGCCTTTATGACTGATAAATGGTAAATGAAACCCAAACAGATATATAAAAGCAAATATTATTTATTGTTTAGCACATTCATGAAGCACACCATCATTAGCAACCTGGATGGTTTGCACTTCAAGTTCTGTGTCACAATGTTGTGGGTTTGGGAGGCTGCTGGTTTTGGGAGGATTTGTTTATTTTATCAATTTGCGCAAAAGACATTTTGAGAGTTGTACGTAATGAAGTTGTGACTGTTCGTTGTTTGATATTGCTGAAAAATTGAAAGTAACTTTATACCTGCCAAACCATTTGAATAACTGTTCTCAATATGCTCTATGCACACAATATCTTGTATTCCGGAAACAGCAAACAATAAGGAGACATAAGCTGTAGTCAGTTAAGTACCTGCAGTGCCTGCCTTACACATGCCCAGTCAAGTTCATTACTTTCAATAAATGAATCATCAACACATCAGTTCAGTTGTACAGTGTGATTGCAAAGGCTTAAAATATGAAAAATGTTGCTTTAGTTGTAGTCAGTTGAGTACCTGCAGTGCCTGCCATAACACACCCAGACAAGTTCATTGCTTTTAATAGGTGTATCACCAACACGTCAGTCCAGTTGTTCAACATGATTGCAAAGGCTTAAAGTATGAAAAATGTTGCTTAGAAAAACAGAATGATGTCTAAAAACATTTTTTCTAAATTTATGTAATGGAAAATTGATGTATTTTCAATTTAATTTTTCCAGTTAACAGTGTCACTAGCATACAGATATCTTTTCTGTGAAAAGGCTTTTAAATACATGTATCCCTGTTGCTAGAAGTTGGAAGCTTTGCATGTTGAATGGTACAGAATTCACTGAGGGCCAGATATAATGTACTAAATAAATTTGTGCCAGCAGTGCCATGCCATTGTATCACCATGTAAAATTGTTTAAATTGTAATTACGTCTGTCAATATGCCATGTGTCTGTGTATATGCATCTAAAGATGACAATAGTTTTACCAATTAAATATTATTTGTGATCATTATTTCACATACACATAACTATCAGAAAGCATCTTTTTTTTTAAAATGGAACTTGCACATTGATATTTAGAGGATTTAATTTGAATATATATATTATCCAACATCTTTGCTTGGCTAATGGAAACTTAAAAAACAAACAAGGAAAGGTACTAATTAGTTAATTTTAATTATTTTTGACCTAATTCTGTCATTATTGAGGAAGTGTTAAGATGTTGAAACATTCTTATTATAAAATTATTTTACTATTCTTGGAGGAATTATAGATACAGAAGATTTTTTTCAGGAATTTATTTTTGTGCTATTTTATAATTTTATTCTTAATGTGATAATTTAATTTTTTCTGATTTTTTTTTTCTTCTTTTCATTTGGTTTTAGTTCTTTTGAGCTCATAGTATTGTAATAGTATTACTATCGTATTTTTCAGAATATAAGATGCACCGGTGTATAAGACGCATCCTTATTATGAAGACAAAGTTTTGGGGAAAAAAAGCTACAGTCACATTTGAAAGATTTTTATTGAACAAAAATTCAATTTGGTACTTTAAAAATTAGTATATATTGTTCTAAACACAAAAGAGCTCAAAACATCAAAATAAGAAAATACTGTAAATCAAAAATGAGTTTACTGTTATTTAGTTTGGTTCAAAACCTACAAAATCTTCATTGCTTTCACTGTAATTTTTTGTTTTATTATTTAGGGAGCATTATAAATAGTTATGTTTTAAAAG